TTAGTACAGAAATACCAAAGATATTTGAGGTCACCATTCCATATTTGCAAAGTATGTTGAACACTCAAGGAATTTGACTCCAGTACAGTGGCAAACAAATGTCAGTCTCAGAAGATCAGGTTGTTCAATAGCACAAAGCCTACAGATATTAAATTGATAATGTTATGAAACAAATCTTTCAATCTGAGAAGCTCATGGGCAGATCCAGGGGGTGGATCCAGTGCCACTCCGGGCCCCAGCCTGGTCACCAAAATGTTTTAGAGAAGCTGGGAGCGGAGTATGTTTCAGTTTGATAATAAGTTTATTGTCAAAACTGTGGCTGATTGTCACTGCAGCTCTAAAATCAGGCTTCTTCAATTATATATGCATATATCTGCAGTTTATAGACTAAATGAAACATATGGGCCTTTAAATTTACAGTGTTCATATCTTCTACGTATCCATATTTCTAATACAGATGAACATTGAAAATAAACCTCACTTTTATTCTGTAGATTCTGAGCAAGGACCAGATCAAATCTATTTGCCAGGCCATCATCGAGTCAGGAAAGCAATATGCCAGGAGGAAGCGGAAGCCTTTCCCCCTCATGTATTCATACTATGGAACTGAGTATCTTGGTAAGAACAGCAGCTTTGAGACAAGTCACTGATAAAGAAGTATGTTGCATTCATGTTATCCTTTAATGTGTCTGCTTATTATCCAGTTTGAAGATTTTATTTTAAATCTAAATAAGAAGCTACTGCCAGAATCCAGCTACTTAGCATAAGCAGCCAGCCTGGCTTTGACTAGAAGCACCTCTAAAGTTCATGAACCAACACTTTATAGCTCATTTGTTTAATCTGTACAGAGTGGTATCAGTCATCTCATCTAACTCTGCAAGGAGGCCAATAGTCATATTTCCCAAAGTGTTGAATGTCTCCTTTCAGCCTGCTTTAGCCGCATTCTACTTGCCCAGCTACATACATGAGAGGGTCAGAATATTAGGAACACCTCTGAATATAATGTAGTCCGGTATAGCACCATCTTTAACTATGACCTCAATAATGAACATATGGTTGAATTTATACATTTCTGGCAATTTAACCAAAAACTGAAACATTTTGGGCATCAGATGTTATGGTGGAAGTGTTGCATTGAAGTACATACAATTGTACAGGTGTACCTATTAACGTAGCTGGGCAGTGTAGTTTATGGTCCTAGTCCAGAGGGGTCTCTGCTTTTGACGGGATTTTGAGTTTTATGTACTTGTCAGGGGCTCAACCTTTCTGAGAAATAATAATGTTAGGCTACTAAGATATGTCATATCTGACTTGCTCAGTGCTGGAAAACAGCTGCTTCCACATAAGTGAGCTACAGTTCAGAAGGTAACAAGTTAACAACAAGTCCTTCAGTTGTCCTGTGTGAATGTATGTGGATTTGTGCTTGTTTGCTTCAGTTGCATCTGTTTGTGTGCCTGGCATGGTGCCTTTTTGCATGCCTGCTTTGGTGGGTGTATGTGTGATCCCCTTGCCACCCCCTCCTTTTCTGTCAGGTGCAGCCCATGGCCTCTCATCAGTGCTGCAGATGCTGCTGAGCTATCAGGACATGCTCAGAGGAGCAGAGAAGGACCTGGTGTGGCAGAGCGTTGACTTCCTCATGAATCAGGAGCAGAACTGTAACTGGCCTGCAGAGCTGGGCGCCATCATTGAGAGAGAGAATGAACTGGTGCACTGGTGCCATGGGGCCCCTGGTAGACTCACTGTTGTTTATACTCATCACCATGAGCATGCACAGGTGTGGATATATAGCTTTTTAATTGTTGTTTCTACTGTTCATGTCTTCATACCCTCTTTCAGGTGTTGCGTATCTTTTTGCGAAGGCCTATCTGATCAATAAGAAGCCCCAGTACCTGGACACGTGCATACGTAGTGGGGAGCTCGTGTGGCAGAAAGGTCTACTGAAGAAAGGGCCTGGGATTTGTCATGGAGTTGCAGGCAGCGCTTATGTCTTCCTCCTGCTGTATCGGCTCACAGGCAATTCGAAATACATCTACCGTGCTCAAAGGCAAGAAACCCCTTCTACAGCACTGTCCTCAGTGCATATCTCTTGCTCAGGGCTATGTTCAAGCTCTAAACCCACCCAGCTGCTAACATGGATGGACACTGTCTTGTTTAGTTTACTTTCTGTAAAGCTGATGATGGTCTGAGTTCAGTTTCAAAGCTTCTGCCCATGTCAAGAATAGCTTTGGTAGAAATATACTGTCACTTTCCATTTACATTATGTCTCTTCTTTTTCCTCCCCAAAGGTTTGCCGAGTTCCTCTACACTGAGGAGTTTAAGGCAGGCTCACGCTCAGTGACCAGTGTCTACAGCCTGTTTGAAGGCCTGTCGGGGACTGTTTGTTTCCTGGTTGACCTCCTGCAGCCGGACCAGTCCGAGTTCCCTCTGTTCAGTGTCTTTGTGTGAATGGAACCCAGGTCACTGCCGTCCACTGACCTGAACAGACATCAGTCCTTCCCTCTGACATCCCCTGAGAGCTGATCTGTAGAAACTTCAGAATGTGGATTGACACTGTGATCTGAGTGGAAGTGGAGGGATGGTTGGTATTTGTTTGGGGTTTAGAAAATCACATTTGAGTACAGTTGCAGTAGAAAAATGGTCTTGTTTTATGTCTGTACAAAAGTGGATGTTCAGCTTCCAGGCTTCAGATTCATTCTACTTACTGTAACATTACTCGTTTCAATTTAGTCAACAGCACTAAAGCAGAAGTTTTCAAACTGTGAAGTTCACTTCCCCAGCAGAGTACAGGCGAGTTGAGGAGGGACAAACGTGAGGCAAAGATGTTGCATGAGGTGAATTTGAGCCAAAAACCATACTTCTTTTTGAAGTAATAACCCAGTTAACTAGCTAATCTGGCATATTTTGATTAAGCCAATTTGCCAAAATGTAAAAAAAAATCCTGGCTAAAAATTTGTTGTAGCCTATGAGGTGCAGTAGAAGAGAAACTGAGAGTTTTGTCTTGTGCTTTCAGACTTTGAAAACCCCTGCACAAAAGTATTGGGACCTTTGAAATGTGGTCCTACTCATACAGTGACTGAAATTGCAGCATGTTCTAGAGAGATGCTGCTCTCAGGTCAGAAACACATGCATTAGTTGACAGCTAAATGGCAATCACCCTCGAGACACAAAAGAAAACAGAAAAAAGACAAAAACAAGTGTCACATAATGCCTTTAAAATTTTTCTATCACGTCACCAGCTCAGCGTCACATATCGCAGACCTTTAGGTTCATGTGTTTGATATGCGTAGTTTCTCAAATGATTGTTGTCACGCTTAATGATAAATATAATGGAGGGATTTTGATACACAACCTGCAAAATCGAACTGGGTAGAGGGGTACATCCATCAGATGCTGCAAGAATTAACTGTAGTTCATTGTCTCACTTTGTTTGCGCTGTGCAATATTACTGACTTGTCTGTTGTAACCAAGGTTGTAGCGGTGTGTCAGCTGTTTGTACTTGATGTGTCAAACTGTGCATCTTTGAAATGTCTAATATGTCATTATTTGTTGCCAGTTTTACCCTGTGTAAAAAACCTGAGTACGTTATATTGTAGGTTTGTGATCGAGACTGAGAAAAAAGTAAAACGTCGTCATTGTGAGGATTTAATTTTGCTTCCAGTTCAGACTGTTGCTACTTTCTGCAGCTTAGTTCTGTAAATTACAGTCAGCTGAGGATTTCTTTACATAAATGTGATAATGAGGCCTTAAAGACAAATTTCTAGCATTTGGATATGATCGCATCTCTCAGAGTAAAAAGGATTGACAACAATGTGAACTGAAAATGTTTTGGGCAGCGTTTCTGACAGTAGCTCAAGTTGGTAACTAAGGCCTGTGAATACCTGAAAACCAAAGCGGTTTCCCAGTGCTAACCGTGCCTGTTGTGGAACATTTATATGCTGTGTATGTGTATTTGCTGTTTTTGCATTTGCAATTTGAGATGTCCACAACAAAGTCTACAGGATTATTGTTATTAATAAAGTGTCCAGATGGAAAAGAAGTAAAAAAAAAACAAGATGAATGTTTTGTTTTATTATGAAACCCACTACCTATACACCAGGCAGTTATACACACCTGACAAATTATGATCGTTTGTATGAAAATGTATGATCTTTAAAACATAGTTATATCTGACAATTTGGGGTGTTTCAAACTAAGATATGACTAGTTGGCATTCAACTGTAGATATGTGAAACCGGAGCTATGACTAGTCACAATTTCAATGTCATATTTCAGTTTTGACTAGTCATAATTACATTGTAGATATCTTTAAAAAATATCTTTAGATATTTTTTAAATGTGTCAAATTAAAGATATCTGTAGCTGGAATTATGGCTATGTAAATGCAGATATCTGGAACTGACATTTCTGATAAGGAGAATTTAACTATAGATATCTTAAATTAGTTTTCCCATTGAAGTCGATGAGGAATTCTTATAGTCAAAATGTATTTGCCGATATCTTTAATTCGAATTTTGTCTAGTCAAAATTTAACTGCAGATATGTTAAATGATAGTTGGCAGCAATCAGAAATACATTGCAGATATCCTAAATCTAAGTCCTGCCCACCTATTTAATGGTAAAGGGGCTTGCCATACATCCCGGTAGTAGTATCGATTCTTTGGGTATCGACCCGCCCACCCTTACTGCCTGAAATCTCAGACGCCACGGCGTGCCACCAACGCGTCCTGTCCCCTGCAGACTTACAGACCTCTGAGTGGTAACGATGTGCGCACCCTGAGCGAAGCAGCGTGCCCCCCTCCCCAAATGGCGGAGTGTGAGTGAGGATGCGACTCCCTTGTTCCATCTTTGTGTCGGTGTCTCTGTTCACGGCCGAGACCACGGCAGCGCTATACCTCAGCTCCACGTACAGCTCCGCTGGAGACCAGATCTGGCAGGGGCTCACGCTTCTCTTCACGCTCGTACCGTCCGTTCTCGTGCAGCTCACCCTCACCTTCATCCACCGGGACCTGAGCAGAGACAGACCGCTGATTCTGCTGCTGCACATCCTGCAGCTCGGACCCATCGTCAGGTCAGTGCAACTTGTTTGTTTATTGGCCCACGCACGGGCACAAGCTCTAGATGTGCCACCATTGTCATCTCCACTTGTGTCAGGCCATGAAACGTCTCAAAGCACAGGTGTCCACGGTTGTCTTAGCCTTTTCTAAGGCATGTCTGCACATAAGCTGCGTAACGGTTTGGTGAATGCATTGCGCACATGCTGTTGTTTTTATTTTGTCTCTGGCTGCACACATGAATATATGTCAGTACCATTTAGCTCGGAAATAAAACGCCGATCAATAGTAACAGTGCAACTCGATAGCCTGTGCTCCATACAGCAGACAGCCTGATCATCCACCACTGTTGATTTACTGTGAACCCTTCTCGCAGTTTGATCATCTTTAGCCAGGCCGAGCTGGGGCTGATATATTCATGACTGCTCTGTTTAAAAGGACGTTAAATCACCCACAAGGCCCAGAAGCTAACATACTGTGGCTGTTAAACACCGACGGAGAAACCTTTAAACCATAATAGAATAGGCCTGGTCCTTCCCTGTGTCAGCCCTGGCCTGGTCTGGCTGCCCCAGCTGTAGGAATATGAGTCTAATCTTGCAGGTAGAGAACCTCCCTGCTGTGCACACTCATACCACACCGCTGTCAAATAAACAAATAGCTGATCTGGCTGTGACAGCATGTAGGCTTCTTCATAGTTTCTGGCATTATTACAAAACACTGAGTGGAAAATAAGTAAAAAAACAAAAATAATAGAAGCAATTGAGCGATCCAGTCAGTCAACAATAAAATTCTTTTTATATTAGAGGTTTTTTGGCCATGACCAAAATCTAAAGAGATAAAAATAAAAAATAAAAACCCAAGCAGACATCTTCTAATATAGGGTACCTATTATCTAGTGAGCACAGACTTGTTGGACACATTCAGCAGTTTTGTGGGGCAGAAAGGCCCACAGTTGGCCTGCTCCAGCTTCTCCAGTGTTTTCTTTATCTTTTATGACAATAGACATGTTTTTCCTTGGTCGACCAGTTGACCAGAGATCTCTCACAGCAGTGGCCTGTGTGGATCTGACCCTTCTGGCCTGTTTCCTTTTCAAATACTTACTGTTCTACATCTTTCCTTGGTGAAGACCAGATCTAAGAATAGCACATGTCTCTGGTGGCTCCTTATCTCTGACAACACAACCAGAGGGGAATATCCGCCTCTACTGCAAACAGCACAGCAGCACTTTCTCTTCTCAGACTTCTCCAGCCAAAACAACACTTTTATTATCTTGAGGAGAGTCCATCTTTTTGATTGATGACAGCAATGATGCCGTGGGGTGTTGTGCTTAAAATGCATTTTCCTGTTTTGACTTTCTTTATTCCAGCATTCTTTCTAATGAGCAAATCTGCATTTAACTCTTCATGACTGGTCGTGTGTGATCATTTCTTCTTTCACTCTAAACAGGAGGGACATTTAATTTAAAAAGTGTTTATGGCCCGAGGAACATTAGTTTGACAAAATAATCTTAACTCTGACTTTTTAAAATCGTGTAAAGACGTCTTCTCAGAAAGATGTTTTGCATGTTGCTACTGCATTTGGATGTACAAGTTTCACTGTGCAGACTGATGATGAGACACTAGAATCTATTGAAAGGGGAAGGTTACTCTGTGTGCACCTTAGAATCAGAATTTAACACGTTCATATGAGCTGATTTTAGGATTCTTGAATAACAGTTCTGATAATGGATCAGTAAGTAAATCTAGTGTTTGAAGTGGTGCCGTACGTTTTGTGTACTGGGACTTGTTCTTGAGTACTGGCACATCTCCCAAGCTGCCGGTATTCTTTCTGCCCTCTCTCCCAGCTCGTTTGAGATGCACTGCATCTCGCCTGGACAACAAATGATGGGAACAGGGGGCGGTGACAAAAAAGCTGCAGTCAGGGCAAATAGTCTGAGTTTTCTGCCAGCTACAGTGTGGGAGCCAGATGGGGTTAGCTGTTTAAATATTATTGAAACCCCTAGGCCTATTTCTTATTTGGCCAGTTAGGGGCAGCACAAGCTGTAAATACAATAGGCTGAATATTACACCCCCACCCCCTCACTTCATACAATGACTACATCAGTTATCAAACAACAGCTATTGGCAGGATGGCCTTGCAATTTGGTACAGACATTAATGTTCCCCAGAAATGAATACTACAGACTTTGATGATGCTCTGGCTTTTCCTCTAGCACCAAATGTTGACATTTATGGCTTTTAGTGAAATATCTCAACAACTATTGGATGGATTTTTGTGGAATGAGGTTCAGACATTCATGTTTCCCTCAGGGTGAACTGTAACTGTGGTGATCCTGAATCCTTTCCTTTAGCACCATCATCGTGTCAAGGTTTTATTTGCCCAATAATTTGGTTTATGATTAAAAAAAGAAACCTGAAAAACTAAACTAACTAAGAAACACTAACTTGTGTTTGCATGCTAACATGCTAAACCAAGACGGTGAACAGGGTAAACATTATACCTGCTAAATATCAACATGTTAGCATGGTCATTGTGACCATGTTAGCAGATAGCTCAAAGCATTGTGCCAAAGTGATGTATACGAATGTGATTTGTGTGTGTGTGTGTGTGTGTGTGTGTGTGTGTGTGTGTGTGTGTGTGCAAAAACATCTGTTTTATGAAGCAAACACGGATCCCAATAAATGAAATGCATTGAAAAGAACTTAATGAAAAGTGATCTCCAGCCCTTCACTGAGTTCCTCTCATTATAGAAACAGCCGAGTCAGCAAACCCTAATGATCCCCGCTTCCCTTCTGCTTTACTGCAGGTGTCTGGAGGCATTCTGTATATATGGCAGCGTGGGCCGAGTGGAGGAGCCTTATGTCAGCATCACAAGAAAGAAGCAGATGCCCCGCGGGGGTCAGTCTGAGGAGGTGGAGCGGCAGGTGGGGCAGGCGGAGGGCAAGCTGTTTACACACCGTGCGGCCTTCGCCCGCACCTCTGTCATTCAGGCCTTCCTGGGATCTGCCCCCCAGCTCACCCTGCAGCTCTACATCTGCGTCCTGCAGCAAGGCACTGTAACTGTGAGACTGTGGACGCCAGTTGTATGGTCACATGAACTTTCAGTCCATCCAGGTCCACTGAGAGCGTAGTGTGTCGCAAGTGCACAGCTCCACTTTGATGTGGGCGAATCAGCAGAGAACCATATCAGAAATAAGAGGATGGTGTTTTCATGAGTCAGTGGTGTTATGTAACTCTGATACTGAGAAGGGAAAACTGGTGCAGATTTGGGGTCCGCCTGTCTCTCTGTGTGCGAGCCACTATTTCTGTTTCTGAGAGAGACTTGGTGAAGGTTCACACAGAGCCAAGCTGCAGCATCAGGTTTTCGGATTAGGGCGAATTAATAGGTTATAAATATGTAGGGGTTAATTCTCTGCTGCTGGTAGTGTGACACTTCTATTTCACGCTTATCAATTTAATGGCCTATGTGATGAACTTCAGGGTGTTCGAGGATGGGTTGCAAATGTTCAAGTCTGTCTTAAAACAGTAGTCGGGTACATTAAAACATTTCTGCTGGCTGTACTCCTAATGTCCATACCCGCCATTATATACTTTCACTGTAAGTCACAGGGAGGGGACAGACCCTCTGTGCAAAAAATTACAGTTTGATTAATTTGGCTGAAGCTATTAACTTTATAAAGTCAGCAAAATAAACCAAAATCAACCTCATGAGGATCAACTTCAATGTCATCCTGGTATTTCTGTTTCTCTCCTCGTCAGGCACACTGATGGTCATTTCCCTCCTGTCCATCGTGTATGGAGCGCTGCGCTGCAACATCCTGGCCATTAAGTTAAAATATGATGACTACGAAGTGGACGTCAGGCCCATGGCTTATCTGTGTATTTTCCTGTGGCGGAGCTTTGAGATCGCCACCAGAGTGGTGGTCCTTGTTCTGTTCAGTTCTGTGCTGCAGCTCTGGATTCTGCCTGTGGTCTTGCTAAACTTCCTCACTTTCTTCCTCTACCCCTGGATCCTGTTCTGGCAGAGCCACTCACCGTTCCCTGAGAATATAGAAAAAACTCTGACCCGGGTGGGAACCACCATTGTGCTCTGTCTGCTCACCTTCCTCTATGCTGGCATTAACATGTTCTGCTGGTCAGCCGTGCAGGTGAAACTCAACGACCCAGACCTTATCAACAAGGCTCTGAACTGGTATCACATGGCTGTGTACTACATGCTACGCTTTGTGGAGAATGCCTCGCTGCTTCTGCTGTGGTACATCTATAAAACGGACTTCTACAACTTCATTTGTGCACCGCTGCTAGTGCTGCAGCTGCTGGTAGCTTACACCATGGCCATCTTCTTCATGCTGGTCTTCTTCCAGTTCTGTCACCCTTGTCGAAGGCTCTTCTCCTCCAGCATGACACAGGGTCTCTGGAATTGCTCCTCACTTCTTTGTCTGATGTGCAACTCTGCTTCTCCACACAACAGGCCGATAGGAAAGGTCGCTCTGGAGCCGCCAAGCCCCACAGCGTACACACAGCCAGTTAAGGATGGAGCCCATGACACAACCAGCGACTCCACAGACGACATGCCCAATGACACGACATATGACATGCTCAATGACACAGTCTATGACATTTCTGATGAACTGGGCAATAAAACAGCAGGTGGAATCAATGGCGTCATTAGCCACAGTGTTTCCTGCAAAGCTTAAAGCATCACAGTAGTGCAATGTACCATTCAGAGGAACCACTGACAATTATCATACCCTCGGTAACCATTTAAGTGCCAGATAGGGGAGTTTACACTTTAAATCATCTGATCTTACTCTCATATTGCCCTCTGTTTCTACCATAGTATGTTTTCCCCACATGAAGCAAACGTGTCCTTATATCTGTCCTGGCTGCGAACATAGTGTCTAACTGGTGTGTAGACATACTGCAGAGGTGGTGCTCTCATCAACCAACACTCTGCAGCCTTTAACACAAATACAAACTCATGACATGGACACCAACATTACTTTTTTATGTTTGGAGACTGGAGATCATGTCTACCTATATGCTGCATTACTCTTCACAAGGAGCCATGCATTGGAATTGAATGTATTTAGTATATGGCATAGAGATGTGCACGTGTGGAGGATCCAGCAAGGTGTTACAGTTGTACTGCGAGGGGAGGGGGTGGTCTGTTTTGTACAGGGGCTTTGTCTGAACCCCCTACTAGTTTTATGGCAGCCAGCAATCAGCTTTTTTTTTTTTTTAAACCCCTTGACAAGAGCTTTATTGTGATCATGCGCTGCTTCTGTGATGTATTTGTGCTTGATTAGAAGATGTGGACCTCTGCACTGCTGAAGAGCCTGTTCCATCACCAGACACGTTACTGTAAAGCACGCACATCTCCCAGCGTTTTTGCATGTTTACAAAAAAGGGATTGAAGTGGCTTTGCTTCAGCCGCTGAGCAGCAACAGCTGTCGTGATGTGAAATGCTTTTATTTTGATGTATTCGCATCTTTCTAATTCTTGTTGCGTCAGTACGTCTCATTAGTTAGGATGTTTACATGAGGTGCACAAATACCGATTATATCTAACTGAAAAATGTCTGGAATTATGACAAGTACTTTTTGCTTATTTTCAACCTTTTATGTGTAATTGCGTGAGAGAGAATGTCACAGTGTTTTTGCACTAAACTCCTTTTTGCAATGGATCTGTGGAAGGATGAAAACTGGGAATCACGAATGCTCCTAATGTCTGTACAAATAAGACAAGCAACTGTTGAAGCCAAAAAAAAAATATGAAGAACCTATGGCACACAAAGCATTATCATACATAACTCAATAAAAAGCATTTAAAAGATGAAATCACAATAAATTTATATTTATATGTTAAAGTTGTCTGCACTATTTGATTTGTAACCCAGAGGCAGCCACTCCACATGGTTCTGTGCTGACCTCTAGAGGACAAACTGCAGGTTAGCCATAACATTTCTTTCCCCTGATCGGACAAGTAAACAGTGTGTATATCTGCTTAACAAACGCTATTGACAGAACTGTTGTATCAATTTAGTAACATGGGTCCATATTTAGACAGATTTAAAAATTGCTTCAGTGAACTCAGTCTAACACAATTCCTGGGTTTTTCAGGCAAAGTCTAGAAAAAGTTTTAAAACTACTCTGTCCTGGAAGAACACACTCATCTGTGCACAGCTACAGACCAAGATAAATAATGCAGACTAGTAGAAACACTTTACATAAGTAGTCAGGTATCTGATAAAACTGCTCTTTAATAAGTAACTTTCACCTACAGTTCAGTCAGTATAATTTGGGAATATAATAAAGGAGACAAAGGACAAAAACTAATCAAGTTCTAGGACAGATTACAGGGTCTTGTATCAGCTTATGATAAAACAATGATGGATCACAATATTTACTGTTCACTTTTCCAGACTCAACACAACACAAGTCGATTACTCCACCAGGCTTCTTCTCCGGTCCCCTCAAACAACATTTTTGTATCGAGGCTGTAGACTCACAAACCACAACTCTTACTCTGAAGTGGTGTTTTTCATGCCTGTGGGGAGACATAAGCCTGAACATTAACATCTGCCAGAGGTTCTCATCTTCACAGCTTCTTCACTGCTCATGGTGCCTTTAAAAGCACAGACTTGACGGCGTTAGGACGGATGGATGCAGCTGTCACAGCGCCACGGCGAACACACTGACCACACAGTACATGGTGCGGTTCTCCCACCTGACTGTGCAGCTTCCTGAAACACAGACACAGATGGAGAAATTATACTAACATTACTAACATTTTTCTGTTGCTTCACTGTGTAGGTCTGATCCACAGCTGTAGGAAGCAGTTATTTTCTTTCTGCTATAACAGTTTGACTTAAATTCTGTTACCTCAAACATGCTGTATTTTTGGTTTTTATGTACAGCGGTTTCGTATAGCCTACAGTACACCGGTATGAGAATTAACTGATTTGGCTGTACCACACACCATAAATGAGTGAGTGGATATAAAATCTCAATATTTTCTGGGAGGTTTAACCTGGTATCAAATACCTGATCTGATTCTTAATCTTGCCCACCTTTAATCTGACACTTTAGCTTTTAAATGTATTCAATTTAAGATGATTCCATTGAGGCAAAGTTTTTCTACAACAGTATTTAGACTATATTTAACATGTGTGCATTTGCCTTCTCTACCCTAAAGTAATCTACTGTAAAAAGTATAGTTTTGGTTCTGAAACTCTGGGATAATGTCAGAAATGGGGCTGAATAATCTCTATTAATAATGAGCTTTAATATGACGTCTCTCACCATCAGTGGCAGTGTCCCAGTAGCAGGAGTTGGCTGTGTGGAGACCAGCGCCGCTCTTCTGCATGATGGTACAGTTTACTGCAAAACACCAGAGGCCAGTGTCACTCATGTTTACCTTCAAATACAAGCCAACGCAGTGTCCATGTTGTACTGAGCATGATGGGTAACTAGTTCACCTATGTATTTAAGCGGCCGTCCTTGTTTCACCAGATGAGCCAGAGAATGCTCCACGACACTGGCCGTCCACTGGTTCACTTTACTCTGGTTGTAATCTGTACCACCAATCACACCTTCAATACACTAAGGCCGCACAGAGAAGAAATCATGTACAACGTCATCACATTAAACAGTGGCTTCACAATAAAACATATGAATGTTTTCTACCTCTTTCACTAAGACACTGGCCTCATCAGCATTGAAGACCACCTGCAAGGTCATTCAAAATAAGGGAAAACATGGACAGTTAGTGACATCTGTGTTGTTTCATTCCCATTTCACATGGTTCACATCCAAGATTTTAAAACATGGTGCATGAAATTCCAGCATCGGAAGAAAAAATGTTGTGCGTTAAAAGTTAAAGCTGTATTAATCAGCATTTAGTTATAGTGAAATGTAATGAAATGACTGATCTAAGGAATTGTCTACAAAAAGCTGTTTTATTCTCCTACAAAAATATATAGTAATGTTTGATTTGAACCATTTACTGTACATGCACATGACTACCTTTGTTAAGAAAATACTTCTTTGCCTGGTGATGATTGAAAGTGTCATGCAGAAAGTGATCTCTTGTAAAAAAAACTGGTGATAAATGTATAGGTGGTTTCATTATTGTAATAACGACAAATGTATACTAGCAGCTATACTATGATGTCAGGTGAAATGGGACAGCTTCTGGCAAAACACTCTGTCCTGGCCTAAGTACAGGGACGTTTTCCATGTGATTAAACAAACAGTTATCTGAATAGCACGTTTTATCCCCAAATTCATTTAGTTCAGCTTTCAAGAGCAGAACTAATAAATACAGTGAATCAGCAGTTAGATGGACATGGATAGTGAACTATAACGAATGGTTAGATTTGACTGAATGAAAGCTGGAATTTTGTCTGATTAAAAACATAAGAAAATAAGTGCATGCCAATTTATTTTTTCTTTCCTTGAAATGTAGTACCTAACATTTCCTGTAACCAATTTTATATACAATTGGAATTACTGCAGCGATTTAGTTTGATACATTTACTCATTATCAAGACTAAATCGTTATTTTAATTCAAGGACTCCTTGCCATGAGTATATTTTACGCTTAGTACTGTCGCACCCAGTCTGAACTCACCTGTACCACTTTAACAGGCGGATGCTTCATATTGTTACATAATGCTGTAGTATTAGCCGAGTCCAAAAGAGCCCTTTGTTTGTTAGCCGGTTTGCATAATTGCAATTGTAACTCGCAGCTGCTTTTTCTGATGTACTTGTTAATAAAATAATACTAATATTAAACCATAAACCTAATTGTGACGACTCTGACCACACCCTGATAGAAAACCCGTTAGCCTCGGCTAACTGACTGATGCTAACGTAAGCTAACAGAAGTGTTGGCAGCGGATGGTTTGGGTCGAAATAAATGTAATAATAAATGGTTTTACCTCATCTCCAGAGTTATACTCCTCCATCGTTACTGACACAGATCCAGAAATCTGATCTCTTTATTATCACCAAACTCTTTGCGATCACCGGTATTTTGTCCAGTTCTTGTTCCTGAATATTACCTGCTGCTCAGAGACAAAGAGCACAAAAGAGTTGAACTTAAGTTGAAGACTGTGTTTTAATGTCGCCGCCCTGTGGTTGGAGTCAGGTACTACAAACCCTGAGCTGGATCAGCGTTAGAGGGTGACTTTTTAGTTACACAACACATGAAAAATACTATAAAGCGCTTTATCAGAGACCAGAGCATCTGTATGAAGTAAAACTATTACTTTTGTTGTAAAGTCGGTGAAATGAAAGAGGCACAAAACAACTGCAAAGAGGCACAGATGCATAGAATAAGTATGACTAGAGACAAAATGACTGATCCTTCATCTTGTGGCCCCGTTCTTATAAAAGGTCCCCTATTCAAAATCTAGTTTCAAGACCTTAACTGGTTTACATGATTTTTAGATCACTTTGTTATAAAGTTTTGTTTTAGCAATTAACTGATTAATCGATTGTCAGAAATGTGGACAAATTGAAAGTAGTCATTATGGAGATTGGCTTTGGTCAGTGTTATTCTACTACCCTACATACAGTGGGTACGGAAAGTATTCAGACCCCCTTAAATTTTTCACTCTTTGTTATATTGCAGCCATATGCTAAAATCATTTAAGTTCATTTTTTTCCTCATTAATGTACACACAGCACCCCATATTGACAGAAAAACACAGAATTTTTGACATTTTTGCAGATTTATTAAAAAAGAAAAACTGAAATATCACATGGTCATAAGTATTCAGACCCTTTGCT